GTGTCACGAGGTGTTGCACAATATTAGACAGTGTTTAGGTATCAAATGACAACATCTGGGGTTAACTTCTGATGCACCCAGTTTCTTCATTCAATGTCTGAATGAGGTGATCTAGGTGTTTACAGAAAACTCTTTCCATAAATTAGTTAATGGCATGGGTTTTGCTTCCAAATTATTTGACACAAAGAAGTTAGATAGCCAAATAAATTTTTCCAACATTCCATACTTTTTACAACTCAAAGATGTCTAAAACCCCACACACATGCCAAAAGCTATCACTAACATCTAGAAGATACTCAATAGACTAAGGACCACCTATTCAACATATCCCATATATATAATCTCAACAAAATCCCATTTTATTTGCTTAAACCCTCTAACACCACTTAGTAACCAAAATACGTCTATCTTGTACAATTGCATATTAATTGACAAAAACATGTAATTAATAGTTGAATACTCAAAAGTATGTGCGCACATATGACACTTATCAAAATTTTACAATTTGACTTGTTCTCATTTTTCATAACTCACATCTCAAGGCATATTGCCACAATATAGACAACCATGTAACAATGGCCCATCTTGTTAGATCATGTGTTTTGATGATTACAAAATTAAGAGAAGAGGTATTTATTATGTGTGCAGATATAAAGAATTATAGATGAAGACAAAACCTCAGAGCATGAAGAATCAAGAGAAGATGAAGATATTTAGGATAAGTTATTTAAATTCTCTTAGATTTAATGTGAAAACTTTGAAAGCTTAATCACTTTTCATAATCATTAAAATGAATATATTATGTGTCTCATTTATATGCATTAAGACTCATCTAAATGTATTAAAGCTTGCAAATAATGTCTTTCTTACGTGTTAAAAATCATTATGGTTGAAATTTGTGAAAGTTGTAGAATCACACGTGATTCTGTTGGGCACTCACAAGAAATAATAGGTTGGGCACACTAACGGATAAAATTACTGTTCCAACATTCCATCAACTATCAAAACTATATATGAGATTCATTCTGAGCTTGAAAATGAACTAATATTTATTTGAGCATTTGAAAAGCTTTCAAATTATGCTTTAACATCTTGCATTCATTCATTATTCTTGAAAAGAATTGTGAAAAACTTCTTATAAGTCTATAAGCTTTCAATTATAATTTCATCTACTCTTAAAGAGAGTTTTATATGAAAGTTTATTTCATTACTTAGAAATCTTGAAAATGCGTTTTTCAAGTGTTTGTAACAACTTATTAGGTTATAGTAAGGTTTGTTGAGTGATTCAAGACAAGTTAAGTCTTAAGAGTTATACTGTAGTAGCAAGTACCCATTGAAACTTGTGAATTTAATTGAAAATCTCAAGTGTAATCTTGAGGATACTTTAAGTTCGATTTGAATAAACCCGGCCTGAATTACCAACTATAGGCTATACCTAAAACCGGATGGTCCTTTAATCCTTTCTAACTGTTATCTAATCCCATTTTACTTAATTAAACCTGATCATCTCACTAATTAACTTAGGATTAAAATTTAAAATGTTACAATAATCGTCTAATATAATGGTTATATTGGACAGTTCATTATGATTATGACTATCCAATACATCTTTTCCTCCCATAATATTGTATGTTGGACCACATAGTAGACACTTTTTTTCAATTGTCCAATATGATAATATTGGAGTCCAATATGTGTTTCAACGGGGGCAAAAATAACTAGCTAATATGATTTTTTTTGTAGTAGTGTAAATAAAATCTTGTTACCTTTGCATCTATCTCTCCACTCGGAGAGTTTCTTGCGTTTGAAAAAATCATAGGGAAAAATGACAATTAAAGATCCCATAATAACATTAATTATAATTATAGATCCTAAATTATTGAAATTTTAATAACAAACAATGGTCCTGACTCATGATAAAGCATATTTTGATTATTGGTTTGAGATTCACAACTGACTTTTGTAAATTCTTGACTAATGCTACAAAGATTTTCAATTATCTTTTGTTGACTTTTCAAGCAATTTATCTATATATTAGTAACAAAAATTTATAAGTGATTGACTTATGATTCACAACCGACCCTCATAAGTTTTTAACTAATATTACAAATAATTTCACGTGTATTTTGCATATCTCTAAAACAATTTATCTATCTATTGGCAACAAAAAATCATAAGTGATTGATTGCGATTCACAATCGATTCTTATAAATTTTCAACTAATGTTACAAATAATCATAAGTGTATTTTATTAATTTCTCATATGGTTTATTTATATATTGACAACAAAATATTGAGATTTACAATTGACTTCTCGTAAATTATTAACTAACATTATAAATAATTCTAAATGTATTTTGTTAATTTTTCAACTGACTATTCATATTTTTTTAGTTATAAATAAGGATCATGATCTATTATTAAAATTTTAATAATTCAAGGTCTATAATTATAATTAATGTTTCATGAGATCTCAAATTACCCAAGGCCGGTGCACTTTCTCAAGTGATTGAGATGGAATATCTTAATTACCAACCACATCAATTTTAAGGACACTTTTACATGTGTGCACGCAAATTAAGCATGTTGACCATTTGGCCCTGATTCGTTAGAAATCCGCACAATATTTATTCTTATTTTGCACAGTTGCACGATGTGTTTGACTCGGATCCAACCCTAGCTCGCAAAAAGATTTATTTAATACCACATTTTGGTGTGAGCTCAATGTTTATTTTGCAACTTTAGTTGGATGAACAGTGCACCTCATGAATAAGATAGATCAAGGAGATTGGCAGATAAATCTCAAGAAAATTAATTAATTTAAATTAAATTTTAAAAGTTAAATTTTAAAAATTTATAAGATTAGCTTTTAATTTTATAATTTCATTATAATAAATTTATAATTTATAATTTATATTTTAATATTAAAAATAAGTTATAAATTTATCATAATAAAATTATAAAATTAAAATTTAAGCTTACAAATTTTTAAAATTTAATATTTAAAATTTAATTTAAATCAATTGATCTATACGACGTAAGTGTCATTCTCCCGTCAATAAATCAGACTTTGGTTTTAATGTTTTTCATTCTTGCTTCCCGGACCCACCTACATTTAAGGTTGTAGGGTCAATTACTCGTTTTTAAATGTGAAAACTGCATGTAATATCTCAAAAAATCCAATTCTGTTGTCGGCCAAATCAAAAAATCCAATTCATACCCCACTCATCTTTTAAAAAAGAAAGTTTCATTTATGCTCTCATAAAAAAAAGTCTATTTGCTCATATTAAGAATTTCACTACCATAGAGGTTAATATGACTTTTAATATAAATGTTATTTATATTGGGATGATTTTATTTTGATGTTATTTGAATAACTTTTTAAATATTTTTTATTATTTATTGTTACATTAAATTAATAGATACTTATAATTATATATTTTAAAAAGGTGTAATTAAATGGCATTTATATTGGGATGATTTTATTTTGATGTTTCTTTATTTGAATAACTTTTGAAATATATTTTTATTTATTGTTACATTAAATTAATATATATTTATAATTATAGATTTTAAAAAGGTATAATTTTTACATTGTGTGAAAAATTTCCCTCACAATTTAATTCTTTTGGCTCCGCCCCCTTTTTTCTACCATTTGGTATATAGTGGTAACAAGCACTAGGAATTGTTGCAAAACCATTTTGCTTGCCCCACAACAAGCTATCAAATTAGCACAAGCCAAATTAATACATATATTGATATACCGTGATATTGATAATTATTGTCCAAAGAATATATGGTCTAATGAGATCTGATCAAACAATATTCTTCTTCTTCTTCTTCTTTTTATAGTATAAAGAGTAGATTCCATTGACAGTAGAAATTATCTCCTTCAAGATATGAAAGGCAAATGGTGAATCTCTTTCAACTAAATTAGTATAAATACAAGAGTTGGAATTTAAACTCTTAACTATTTATTTAAGTAATGAGAGCCCTTACTATTTACGTTAATTTTAATTGGTAAACCAAACAATATTCTAATACAATTAATCTAGATTTTGTGTATTTAAAAGGTCACATTGTTAATATTACTGTTTGGAAATAATGAATTAGGCATCCCAAACATGTTGGGATTAGGAATCCCAATTTTTTTATATTTACGATTCACACATGCCAAACTGGGAATTATATCATGCATCAAGACCTCATTTCATGATTAAAAGTTATAACTGTTTGATTTATTAGAGATCCATGAGTACAGGATTATAAAATGCATTATGCACACTAAAATTGTAATAAGTTCATAAAATATATCATATTTATTTACATAATAATAATAATAATAATAATAATAAAATCGTATACAATATACTCCATCTACCCCATTTTATAGGAAGCATGTTTTTTTAGTGATCTGATGTTTCATAATATAAAATATTTTGAGAAAAATAATAATTTATTAATGAAATTTATTTTAAAATTATCCTTCATTGTTTCACTCATATATTTCCCTCCTCCCCCTTTGAATAATATTTTTTGGAATTTTTTATTTTTTAAAAATAAAAATTTCAAACTATATGCATTATTAATTCACTTTATTAAATATTTACAATTTTATCAAAAAAAAAATCTTATATAAAAATTACGGAGGCATACCTAAAAGTAGAGCTGGGAAAACGGGCGGGCCCGGCCCTTAAGGGCTCGGCCCTTATGGGCCCGGCCCTTAAGGGCCTAGGCCCTTAAGCCCGATTCTTCATTTTCAACCCCTTTTCTGAAGCCCGGCCCTTATGTTCAGGGCTCAGGGCCGGGCCCGAAAGCCCTGATCTAAAAAATTAAAATAAAATTAAAAATTAAAAATTAATTAAAATATTCAGAAATTGAAAACAATTAAAGTCCTCTCAATCTTTTAAAAATTAAACAACATATTTAAAAATCCAAACAATACATATTCATCAATCAAAACATAAATCCTCCTCATCTTCATCATCTACAAATAAAACATTAGAACTCTGAGAAGTAGGTCCACTTGTTAAAGGTGGAGGGGCTTCAATATCAATATACTCTGCAACCACTTCTTCCTCACCTACAATAAAAATGAACAAAATTGTGTTATTATTAAACATACACAATCACATATATCACAAGACAACATTTCACAAAACAAAAATTACCACATAATGGTGGAACAAAACCATGTAACCAATTTCGAGTACAAATTAATGCTTGCACATTATCTGGAAGGAGGCTAGAACGATACTTTGTTAGAACACAAGAACCAATACTAAAAGCCGATTCACTAGCTACCGTAGTTATCGGAATACTTAAAATATCGCATGCCATCTTTGAAAGATTGGGAAATCGTTGTTGATTAGTCATCCACCAATGCAACACGTCCAACTCTGGAAATTGGTGACCATCAAGAGAAGCTTCTTCCAAATAATAATCCAGTTCAGATTTCCCAACAGAAGAAACATCCTTACTCTTGAAATTAAGAAAATCCTATGTAAAAAAAACAAAAAGTATCAAATAAGGGATTATAAACCAATAGTAATGAGATAATGTGTATTAGATAAATAAGAACTTACACCATAAAGTTGAATCCAAGACATGGTTGGTTCCTTCTTCTCTACCATCCTTCCACTTGTGCTTGAGCTTGGTTGACTTTGTATTGGAGTTGAACTTGATGTAACATTAATGGAAGATCCACCCATCTCTTTGTATTGATCAAAGATATAAGACAACTTTTGTTTGATATTATCAACTTTCATGTAGTAATCCACAGGATCAATCAAAGAGAAAGAATACTTGATTGCTTCAAGCTTTGCTCGTGGATCAAAAACACTTCCAATTGAAAGGATCACACTATAATCACTCCAATACTTGTCAAATTTATCCTTCATTCTAATTGCCATACTAGAAATCACAGGATCACGATTGCTAATGGCATCATTCAACAAAATCTCAACTTTTGCTATTTGTCCAAAATACATATTGGAAGTTGGATAAGATGTGCCAGAAATCAAAGTAGTAATCATTGCAAATGGTTGTAAAAAAATGCACATTTCCTCTGCTCTCCTCCACTCTTCATTTGATAAGGAATGCTTAAAATTAGTGTCACGACAAGACATGCAAACAAAAGCTCTTTTATATCTAATTCCACTTTCAAGCATGTCATAAGTGGAATTCCATCTAGTAGGCACATCTAATCGCAATCCCATTGAGGTGTCAATACCACCAACTTGCTCAACACATTGCTTGAAAATTTTCATCCTGGACTCAGACATCTTAACATATTTAATGCTGTCTCGAATTTTATTTATCGCAACATTTGTCACCTTCAAACCTTCTTGAACTATCAAGTTCAAGATATGTGCACAACACCTCACATGAAAAAATTCCCCATCACAAATCAAATTATTTTGCAAAATCAACCTCTCTTTCAAGATCTCAGCCATACAATCATTTGCAGATGCATTATCCAAAGTAATTGTAAAAATTTTCTTTTCAATCCCCCAATCACTTAAGCTCTCAAAAACTTTACTGGCTAATTCATGTCCAGAATGTGGAGGCTCCATTTTACAAAAAGAAAGTATCCTACTATTAAGCTTCCAATTTTCATCCACAAAATGTGCTGTTAAGCAAATATAACCCTCAGATGTTACAGAAGTCCAACAATCAGAGGTCAAACATATTCTACTAGGACACTTTGATAACATCACTTTTAACTTGTCTTTTTGTACCTCATACAATCTTCTAACATCTGACACAGCAGTCTTTCTACTCATAAGCTTAACATCAGGATTACATTCCTTAAGCAACTCCTTAAGAAGAGGAAATTCAACAAAAGAATATGGCAAATCATGTGCAACAATTAACATCCCCAACAACTCCCTTATACGTGAATTATTGATTTGTCTAGATCTTATGTTGCCTTGATTATCTAACATCATCAAGCCTACATTGTGAAACTTTGGAAGAGCTACACATTGTTTAATATGACGACTTAAATGTGAAGTGCCGTAATTTCCACCACATGCTAATAAAGTGCCACAACCATTACACTTAGCCTTTGCTACCCCCTCTTCATTAACCACCCTAGAAAAAGATTTCCAAACGTCTGAAGTCAAACCTTTTACTTTCTTAGGTGGTTTTAGACTACATGTAGTAAATTGGGTGGAAGTTGATTCTCTTTTACCATCCCCTTCAACTGACTTCTTACTAGTTTCATTACTCTTGGCACTAGAGGATGACATACTGTGCAAAGAAACATAAACCATATTATCAAAATTAAAAATCATGCATCAAAACTCAGAGTCTCAGACCAACATCATCATATCATCATTTTACAAAAAATCAGGACACAATATCAAATCAAAAATAGACAACATTGTTATTTAATCAAGTGAATAAATTATTTTCTATGATATAATCCAAGTCAAAAAATTAAACAAAGTTAATCAGGTGGGTGATTAATTGATTATATGTTAGAAATTAACTAACTTGTGAAAGCCGAGATGAGCGAGAGGGAGAGACAAGATTCAAGAAGCAGAGAGCCAGAGACCGAGAGACGTGAGGCGTGAAGATCTGAAGGAGAGCAGAGTATGGACGAGAGGAAGGAGACGAGCAAGATGAAAAAGAAGGAGATAGAGATTCAGACGATCAAGGGAGCTGCGACGGCCGACGAGCTGCGACGGAGAAAAAGGAGAGAAGGAAATCCGAGCAGATTCAGGCGAACGAGAATAAAAGGTGTGACTGTGTGATTGTGACTCTGTGAGGCAAAGGAGCGAGGGCGAGGACGACGGATCTGGCGTCGGCGTGAGGCTGAGGGAGAAGCTCCAAGTTGAGAGCTGTGTGAGGCGTCGGCGTGAGGCTGAGGGAGAAGCTCCGAGTTGAGAGCTGTGTGAGGTGACGGCGTCGGCGTGAGGAGTCTTAGGGTTCAGTGTGACTGAGAAGCTCCGGTTCACTGTGACGCTGAGACCGAGTGGCGAGTGGCGACTGAGATTGTGAGAGCAGGGAGAGAGCTGTGTGCTTGAGTTGTGTCTGTGTCAGTGCAGTGCGTGAGGGGCTGAGGGCTGAGGAGTAAGGACCGAGACGGCGAGACTGACACGGCTGAGGGAGAGTGGGAGACTGGGAGAGCCTGAGATTATTCAATTTGGATTTTGGACTTTGGAGTGGTTTGGACTTTGGACCGAGTGAGAGTATGAGAGATTTGCTGGCCTGGCACCTGGTGGACTGGACTAATTTTTTTTTTTACATTATTATTTTATATTACTTAAAAAAAAAATAACCGGGCTTGGAGGGCTTGTCCGGGCCCGAGCCCTTTTTTACAGGGCTTATCAGGGCCAAGCCCTCAAGCCCGGTTACTTTAAAAAAAAAAATTTTTAAAGCCCGAACCCTTATTTAAACAGGGCTTTCAGGCCCGGCCCTCCAGGCCCGGCCCTTATTCCCGGCTCTACCTAAAAGAGTCAACTCTTTTTTAAGTTCCTCGCCAAGGCCATCAGAACTGCCGTGCGAACAATTGACTTCCACGCTACACTAAAAGATATTTTTTTCCCGCTCCACATCATAGCCTTATCCACGTGTCGCATTGTCGAGTTGGTGTCTTTTTCAACATTTTTTTGTTCATGCTTCCTATCATGTGTGGGGCAAGAAGCTCAACATAACATACAAGTTTGGGAAAATTACACCAAAATCATACAAAAGAGAATTTATTATTAATAGGTTTCATAAAATATATAAAATACTCATAAATATTCATTATTCAGTTATAAATGCACTGAATTTTAAATTTATAAATATTTTATAAATTTTATGAAATTTATTAATGATAATTTTTTTTATAAAATCTAGATATAATTTTCCCTACAAGTTTTCCGTTAGACTCTAGCGAGGTACTACTTTTGGAAGCTAAACAAACTTTTGTTAGTTTTCTAATCCCTGTAATCCTTTCGTTAGCTTTCTCGTACTCTTGTTGCTATGTAATTTTTTGGGAAAAAAGCATGTGCATGTGTTGCGTATATATGCAGATGACCTCCGTGATATTTGACAGTAAGAAGAGATCAATTAATATATTTATGCAAGCAAATTTCTTGCGCTTAATTTATCCATTATTTAGCTGAAATAATATAAGGGAGAATAATTGATAAATTCATCTAAAATAAAAAAAAAATAATTTAATCTCATGAAACGTAATATTGATAGTGAAATCTCAATGGACTTCTTTGAGATTAAATTTAATTTATTTATAAAATTATTTCAGTACACCAAAGTTGTGATTTTTTAAATCATTTTAATTATTGATATAATTAAATTTGCAAATATTTATACCAAATTTATAAATAATATAAAATCCGTTGAATTTTACTGATAGAAAGTTATAATTTTTTTTAAATTGTTTTAGTTATCAATGAAATCAAAATTGTAAATACTTATATAAAACTTGCGAATTATATAAAATTAGTTATAGAGAGATACTAAAATAATTTTACATAAAAATTTAATCTCAAAAAATTTTTTTAAGACCTCATGTCATTATCACATTTAAAGAGATCAAATTATCATTTGCCTATTTTAGAAAGATTTATCTATCATTATCATTATCATTTTACAATAAATCAGTTATCAAACTTATCTTCCTATGTCCACCATTCCAATTTTTTCAGATACAAATACATTTGTCTAATATTCTATAGGGGCAAATACAATAACAACCCTTCCATTTTGCTAAAATTACAATGGTCTTTTCTCTATTTTTAAAACCTATACTTTAGGCTAGTCATTAGCATGGTTAGGAATGTGTTGTTAAAGATTATAAAATACTTTTTTTATTTTTAATTATGTTAAAAATTTTAAAATTATTAATTTGCTTTTATGATCTAATTGTTTACTTTTTCTATCCTATATATATATATATATTTAAATAGGAATATTTTAGTTTAACATATGTAACTTAATAGTCAACTAATGGTTAGATAAATGAAAATAAAATATTAAAAATATAAAATTTTTTTGTGTTTTATAATCATTCATATTAAGGGAGTTTCTTTATAAGTTTAAAAAATTGAATAGAGATATATGTAATTAAGATAAAATGAAGGGAAAGTCAGAATATTTTACTCTATGATGTACTATTAAATGAGATCAGGGGATTGGAAATAACATTTTTTTATTTAAAAAATATGAAGTCTCCACAAAAGGAATTTTATTTTTTTCAATGCATATTAACTCTATTAATATTAATGGCATGAAATGTTTTTTCTTTTGACCGAAATTTCACGTACACCATTACTCGTAAGTCGTAAGTGCTTGCATGCCTAATCTCACTCACTCAGGACTTGGCAAGCATGAATTTCTTGAAAACGAATTCAAGGCCGGCAATTGCGCAACTAAATATTTAAAAATATGTATATTTTAAATTTAAAATTAACAATAATAGAAGTTTCAGATTCAGTGTCGCAGCTATTTTTAACAGCGCGATTCTGAATTCTGTTTTTGTGATTTGTGATATTCGCTTACCCTTTCTCTGCTTCTTGTTCGATCAACAGTTTCATCAGCCATAGCCATAGCTTGAGCTTCCTTCCTAGTCTTTTTTGGACTCAGATTTGTTCTGATTCTTCTCACTGAAAGTACAAATCAGTTTCTAGTTTCCACAACTGCGGCTCTTTTCCCTTTCTTCTAGTGTTGGACACTTGATAGAGAGAGAAACTGAGTCGGCCTTATCCTCCGCACCACTTGCGTAGGAAATGGAGACGCCCTCCTTTGTTTCCAAAGCGAGGACTGCGCTTCATTCTGCGGCTGCGAAAGCGGAACGTGTTCTATCGGACTTGAAATCTGATCGAGGTTTTACTCTGCTGACACATACACTTGTTCATTTTCGGCATTTTCCATTAGAAGTTTGTCGTAATCGTTTCTTGTATATTGTTGCCACCCTTCTTTCCAATTTTTTCCTTTTCCAAAATTTCTTTGGCTAATTTTTTTTGTTCATTTTGGGAAAATCTAATTATTATCTATTAGCGCTAACCCAATTGTTGATCCGTGAAGATCCTGATAAACAATCGCCCAACAATTTGACAAGGGAAGAAAAAGAAGAATCTCCTCGGAGTGAGGGCGAGTCAAAGGTAATGACAATTAGAGTGATCCTTGTCCGCCTGTTGGCTGTTTTGAATTTCGACATAGAAGAAGCATTTTACTATTATCTATAAACTCGGGTCCTTACTAACAAATAAAAAAAAAAAAATTTTTGCAACGCAGTATCCGACTTCTTAAATTCTCAGGCCGAGCATTTACATTTGCTTTTCTGGCTGTGGCAGCATGATAGTGCATTTTGATCACCGACTAAATGTAGAATTGTTTGTTTTTATGATGTTTAAATTGAATATCAAATAGGAATTGAAAAGCCTGATCAGGTTCCCCCACTCCCCCTCCCCACACACACACACACACACACACACACAAAGGGTTTCTGACAAAGCATGAAGAATCTTTCCCAATCCCCACTAAAATTATTGTAAAAGTATTTGGTAGCAGTCTCCTGATTTGTTAGGATGCTAATTTCCAACCAGTGATAGTTCCACCCTGAAATGTCTCTTAGCTTCATGATGATTGAGACACGTTTATTTGTATTTGTTGTTCTGTCTAGATAGTTATTAGGCAACATCGATCCTAAATGGAACACTAAATTCTTACACTAGTGTTGGATTCTGATGGTGCAGCTGCGCAGCGATTTGAAAAAGTGGAGACCTCCACACATAAGTATAAAGCAGGATTGGCAAGATAAAATAAAAAACATTCGGATAGGGAGAAAGGAGGTTGAAGACACGGATAAAGTTGGAGATACAACAATGACTTTTCCATTTTATGATGAAAATCTGTACATCTTGAATATGAAAAATGATATTGAAAGCAAGGTAAGAGGAATTTAAACATTTTTAATTCAGGGATTTATGCTTCTGTTAGTGATATTGAGTGCACATAAACTAATCTCATCGTTAAGTGGCTGTTAAGTTCTTTGAGAAAAGAATATTGGCATGTTTGTATTCATTAAATGATTCAATTATACAAATGGGTTGCTTTGATGATGTATGCTAAAAAAAAAAAAAAAATTTAGGCTTCTGAAGCAACACCCACAGTTGAAGGCTTGATTGCTGCAACAAAAGACCCCATTCCTCCATCATCTGTGCTGAGGCAGTTGGCAGTAGCTGTGGAGTAAGTTATACTGTCTCACTTTTAACATTTTCCGGCCCATTAGGCTGCCACTTCTTATTATACTAAATTATTT